AGATCCTCACCTTTGAGGGGTTGCCAATTATTTCCTCTCCTCTGAGGGTGTTTGATGATCACTGGAGCATCATGACCCCAACTGTAACTCTTGAGTTCCCTACCGCAAGGGCATACTCACACCACGACTTTCCTGGATGCATCTGATCTGGACATCTACCATGACCTGGATGTATCTGACCGCAATTACTTCCAGAGTTCAGTCCAAAAACTCCTTGTGTGAATAGGGTCCAAGTCTGTAGTATTTCGCCTCTCCTCGTTATGACCCGAGAATGTTGCCATGCTTAGCCTACCCTAGAGTGGGAATCCCCCAGTCTGACAGGAGTATTCTCCTTGTCTTATAAACCGCCGCTACACAGCCCCAGCCTTGCAGAAAAAATGGACTCGTCCCCAGCGGCGAAAAGTTTGGGACTTTTCGGGGCTAGGGGCAACCAGACCGAGATGCTACCGCCGCCAGCCAAAATAAAAAGGAAAACAACACGCTGGCACTTCGGCATATATCGGCGTGAAGGGGGAGCGTTGGGGTCGGCGAAACAGCCCTGAGTGTACTGGTGGTTTAACCCTAGGATGGGAGTGCTAATCTACCCAGCAGGATTGGCCTGTAGAAGAATTGCATGAGCCTGGTGTCCGAAGTTCCCTTACGGCAAGGTTCGTCCGCCTCCGCTATCATCAGGGCTGGGAGGTTGGCCCAGCCTTGGTGCTTGTCACTGCTGTCTGGTCCAAGTTGCCCTCTATACTGGTAGGGTGATGGTCCTGAGTGCTGGTCACACTGAGGTAGGATAGTAGGGACAGGGAGTGCGCTGGGAGTATTAACGTGGGGATGAGTAAGGTTGGGTAGGTGGCCTATCCCGTCGGGACAACCATTGGCTGCCGCTACCAGCAATCACCGCGGGTCTGGTCCTTGGCCTCTGCAACACCCTGGGCTTTACTCAAGGGGCCAAACTGGGAAAGCTTTTTTTTTTTTTTTTTTTTTTTTTTTGGGAAAGCTTTTCTTGATTAGAAGTGAAGCCTTTTTTTTTCCTTTTTTTTCTGTCCAATGAGTGCTTGTGAGGGCCATCATAATCTTCTGGGATTTCTGGGGGGCTGGGGTGTATAGTGGGAAATTCTCCTTGATAGTCTTGTGCGGTTTTCTCGGGTCAAAGTGCATTGCGAAATTGTCCTTCGTTCAAGGAATACTTGCCTTGAAGTATTGCATTTCTGTCCGATTTATTCGCCCAGCGATATGCAGAATCATCTCGCGTATCTCAGAGGAATCCAGCAGCCCATCCTTGTCTTTATCGTATTGGAGAAACAGGCTTTGTGCTTCTAGCTTTTTTGCTGACATGAAATGATCGAGTCTCCCGAAGAGGTTCCCCTTTCCCTGCAACAATGACGGCACAGAAAGTAATGCTAGAAAGACCTAGTTATGAAAGCTGAAACAATCTGAGGAGGGGGGGAGGGGGGGGGTGGGAGTGCAGGGGTCACGGGATGGGTGGGGAATAGGGGATTGCTACTGAGTGGTTTCCTGATCCGGTTTGGAAATGCAGAATGCAGCTGCAGCTGGCCGTTATCAGCGAGAAAAAAAAAAAGGGGTAAGTACGTTCATGTCACCTGTGAGTATTGAATGGGCAAAAAAAAACAGGCGTTGGCAAAGAAAACCGCGCCGAGTTTGAAAAGGCAACAGAAGTAAAGACAGGCGTGGTGTCTGACCGGGTGTCATATTTACAGGGGTTGGCCGTGGTGTCAGAGGGGCAAACAAAAAAGAAAGAAAATGCCCCAAGGGATACTTTTGGACGGAAATTGCTCATTTCGAGTTGGTGCGTGGTTTCTTTGCCTGCACGAGTTTTTTTTGTTTTTTTTTTTAAAAGGCAGCGGCCTTTAGATATCATCATTAAGCTGACCGGCCCCAGGTAATTCAGAAATAGTTGGTTTTACAACTCTTTCACTCGTCAAGTTTCATCATTTGGATTCGAACACGGGTCTGTATTTTCAACAGTTCATGGGTGTACCCACTGAGCTAGGCTCTTGGGTTTCAAAACATGCCGCTTCTGCCGTTATTTCAAAAAAATAAAAATAAAAAATGCAGCTGGATGTGCAGATGCCTGAGTGCAGGTGTCAGACAGGCAGGGCATGATGTGGACGTGTCACATGCAGGTGCATTCTTTTTTTTTTGTTTTGTTTTCCGAGCTGATGCTAGGGGTGCTCGTAAGAGCAGGCACACCTAGCACTGTTGGGGAGGGACAAGCACATTCAAGAAAACCCATGCAGGTGCATTCTTACCGTGCTAGTTTGTGCTTTGTGACACAAACGGGCCTTTTCGTTTTTTCTTTTAAACCACCAGTACTTGGCCCAGCTATCAAGTCCAAGCCTCGGCCAACCGGTTTGCCGAGCCTTGCCGAGGCTCGAACTACCGGGCGCTAACCGCCCGAACGTCCGTGGAGAAAAACACGGGAAAAAAAAAAAACAGAAAAAAAAAAAAAAAAAAACACAAAATTCAAAAAGCAACGACAGAAAAACGGGATTTACTCTAAAAAGACAAGGAAAAAAAAAGAAAAAATGGTTACCTCGGCATGCACAAAAGACAATAATCAACCCGGTGTATCTTTGCATGTTCACGAGGAAGATTCACTCTCAATGGAAACGCCGGTGAGAGAGAGAGAGAGAGAGAGAGAGAGAGAGAGAGAGAGAGAGAGAGAGAGAGAGAGAGAGAGAGAGAGAGAGGAGGCGACCTGCATGGAGGGACGTGGCGAATTCGCCGGCCCTCTCTCTCTCTCTCTCTCACGCACCGGCGTTTCCATTGCCTATTCCAAAACGGGAATGGATCGACTTTGTTTTTTACCTTTTGTTTTCGTTCTTTTTTAATTTTTGTGTATTTGATTTTTTTTGTTTTTCTTTCTTTGTTATTTGTTCTGTGGTGTCGTACCAAAAGAAGCGGGGCCCGGCCTTCAAGCAGTGACCGGGCCTTCCCCTGGCCAACCCCCGAAGGTGTCCGCACGTTAATGGAGAAGGCCTGCGGCCGATAGCTGGGCCAAGTACTGGTGGTTTAACTGGGAAGATCGTCCCCACCCTTCATGACCAGGGCGATGTTCGTGACAAATCTGTAGCCACGAAGAAAAACGACAGGCACATCATACATACATGACTTTTATTGTCTGAGACTCTGAAGCCCACACCCTCTCTCCCCCCTCCCCCCCCCTACACACACCCGCACAAACACAGTCCTTGAAAGGCGTACGAAACAAGTGCTTCCTCCACCGCTCTTTTTTTTCTTTTCTTTTTTAGTGCGCTCTCCAACCACTCTCAATTTTCCGAGAGTGCAAGAAGACAAAAACGAAAATGGCAACAAGGCAAAAAAAAGGTCCTCTCTCGCTCATTCAAGAGGTTGCCAGCCTCCCCCTTGATTTAATGGTTTCGCAGGCTGGGCCCTCTCGTTCCTTCAAAAGGACTCTTGACGGCTTGTTCCTGGCACTCTCAAGAGAGATGCAGTAAGTGTCAAAAGACAAAAAACAAAAAACAAAAAACAAAAAACGAAAAACAAAAAACAAAAAACGAAAAACAAAAAACAAAAAACAGAAAAGAAAACAAAAAACAAAAAAAATGCAGTCAGCGTCAATTTTGCAAATTCTGATCGTGTCGGCACCCTATTGGCTGAAAGCCTGAAGCACAGCTTTTTTTCTTTTTTTTTTTCCTTTTTTTTTTCTGACATTGCTCCGAGGACGAGTCCTAAAACCAATGCTCCGAGGATGAGTGTAACGAAGACGACAAAACCCCTGTACTTTTCCGAGGATTCATCCTCGGAGCCCGAGGATGCCCCGAGGAGTGTCTAACGACGCCCCAAGCCCCGCAGTCTGGCACAATGATGCTTTTTAAATTTGTGGAGTTGTGTACAGCGAACGAGACAAAACGCACACACACACACACACACACACACGGGCTGACTCGGAGGGCTCTCCAAGTTTTTCCGGACCATTGCAGGATATGGTCCGTGCTTTCGTGCTGGTGGAGCCTTCTGTGTTAGGTATGTAACCGTATGTTGCCTTTTGCCCTTTACCTTTGTTTTTAAAGATTGAAAAAACTATGTACATTTGTGCAAGTGTGCCTCTTAGGCGGCAGACGGATGTGCTTTCGTGCTGGTGGGGCCTTCTGTGCTAGGTATGTTGCCTTTTGCCCTTTACCTTTGTTTTGTTTTGTTTTGTTTTGTTTTTTTGTTTTTGTTTTTGTTTTTGTTTTTGCTTTTGTTTTTGTTTTTTACAAAAAAGCCCAGGTTGTTGTAGAGGTGGGATGCTAGACCAATGACAGTTACCCACAGCACTCGGTCACTCGGTTGTCCAGCTGAATCCCTCTGAAGACCCCACCCACCCTTCCTCTTATCATTTTGCCCTGGCGCACCCCCACCCCCCCTGTCCTACCCTAGTGTTAACCACCCGGGACCATCACCCATTGCCATATTGGCAGGGTGACCTGACCAGACAACGGTTGCAGGYACCCGGGCTAGGCAGAGAGACCTACCCCCCCGCTAAGCCCTGGTTGAAGCAGATGCCGTGCAAGCCCAATCGCACGGGGACTTCGGGAGCTAGGTATGAACATGCTACTACAGGTCTTCATGAGGGTGCACACTGTTATGTTGTATTACTACTATTGTGTTTTTTTTTTGATGGCAGAGAGCTGGGGCTCCTCCGTTCCCTCGTATATCCCTGGAGCAAGATTGAGAAAACTATGTATATTTGTGCAAGTGTGCAGCTTAGGCGGCAGACGGGTGCGTGGCCACTTCCCGCTCAACCACACAAATGTGGGGAGCCTTGCACCTTCTATTATGTTGCTCATCTGTACTTTTTTTTGTTTATGGATGGTTTGTAGTGGTATGGGGAGAGAGAGAGAGAGAGAGAGAGAGAGAGAGAGAGAGAGAGAGAGAGAGAGAGAGAGAGAGAGAGAGAGAGAGAGAGTTCATAGGAAAACAGTGGCCACACTGTTACTAGTGCTGGAAGACCATACACAGTACGATCAGATACCAGCCCTTTCCATCAAGATACCTCATAATCGAAACTCAATAGATACATCAGTAAAGCACCGCACGCGATCTCCGACGCGTTTCGCTGTGGGCGTACACCACAGACTCATCAGGGAGAACCAAAGTATCCTGAACAAGCATCCTTGCTTGGTGAGAGGGTTAAGGTCATCCCCCCCTCCTTTAAATACCAAAAAACTCAGTACTCTACTCCATCTACATGATGCCAACCTCCCCATCCAGTCCCTCAAATCGTGATCCCACACTACTCGCTCGAGGAGGGTGCCAACTTCCCTCCATTTCTTCTTTTTTTTTTTTTCCCAGTAAAAACTTAAGAAGAGAATCATCTGATTACACCATACCTTCATCACTTCGCATTCCATCATCTCTCCCGTATTACAACCCATCTCGATCCCTTCAAACTGAGTACCCACCTTAGCGGACAAGCAAGGGACTCCCCGCACTTCGTGGCCACAGTATTTCAAAACCTGTTTCGCCAATCTCCCTGAATACAATCCCGCACCCAGATCAATCTTGACTTCACACAGAAAAACCACATACCTCCTTCATTGCGGTACCAAATCGCGCGTTCCGAAGTAAACGAGCCGATCTTCTGACATCTGTTCTCACTTCCCGACCGTCCTCCCATCCCGGTGATACTAATTATCACCATAGCCATGTATAGTTTCTGTTTTTTCATGCGTGGCAGAAGCCGAACGACCCTGTAGGACCCCAATAAACACTACCTGCATTTTATACTCTTCTTTGTAAGTAGCAAGGGCGGTGTATGTCTTTCCACTGCCATCCTGTAGGTACGACTACGATACCTACAGCAGCCTACCTATCGGTTCGTGGACACTAAACAATACCACAAAAAACCGCCTACTCAGAAAAGCGACGTTTTTTTTAAACCCGGTTTCCATCCTTTAGATCCGTACCCCTCGGGTAAAAAAACAACCCCCAGAGCCGATGGGAAAAAAGTTGCGCAAATTTCTGAAAAAAAAAAATAAAAAAAATATACATCCAAAATCTTCAAAAAAAGACCCTCATGCTACCTTAAAAACATATGTAGGTCGGGGTAGATCTTGAGGAGCGAAGCCCACCAATTACCACCGGCCACTCTAACAAACCTAGCTAGGTGGAACCGAGAGAGACCTCCGGGGGGTAATCCCGGAGGTTAGAATCCATGACCAGAGCACAAGTGGCAGCTACTGCATCTTCCTCATTGGTAGCCAGTCTACTGGCTGTCAACACCGCCCTTTTCATCTTGTTGAAAGAAAAGGAAGCATAATCCTGCATTGACTGGACCTTTACTTTTCCGTCATGCAGCAAAGACGTCTGGTTCCTAGTTTTGGGAATAATCCTCACCTCAATCG